GAGGTTAAGAGTGAATTCGAAGGGTTGATAGCAGCAGCGCCGTGATTAGCTAAGAATTCCTCTCTCGAGCCAAAGGCAACATTTTGCGGGGTGAGTATTGATGGATCGAAATTGATGGTTGTGGCACCTTGGAGCCTCTCTAGCTTTTGTTTTTGTAGCTTCTGGAGAGTCTGCTGTAGGGTTTTGATGTAGTTCACTGCCTCATCTACGATTGTGGATTTGTCAGCCTATAAGAACATTATAAATAATTAGGGATCTATGGTTGTTCAAATCATATGAAATTAGAGAATTGGTGCATCTATAGTATTCACATTGTTGCACTGCAATTCATACATGTCCAAACATTTAATTAATTAATTAGAATTGCATATTTAAGAACCTTCCTTTCTTTTGTCATTTGGTTACATCTTGGCATCTGAAGTTTTGAGCCATTGCTGAGAAACCCTTTCTGGAGAAAACCATTTTCTTTTTTGGAAGTTATTTCAAACGGATGGTTGAAAGAATTAATTATTTCTTTCAGACCCATAAAACCAGTAATTAAAACATGTACAATTCTCCTCAAAAGCTATGAGATAAAGGAGAGAAAGGGAGAAATAAAAGAATGAGAAAAGAAATTCGACCAAACAAAAAAAGAATGAGAAAAGAAAGGAAGCTTTTCTCATTAACTGCCCATTATATGCAAAAAGGCTACCCATAGCTTTGATAGGAAAACGCAAATAGAAAGGCTTTCTTTTTCATAAAGACCAAAAGTTTCACTGCTTGTTTTCCTTTCTAAACACTTAAGAGAGAGAGAGAGAGAGAGAGAGAGAGAGAGAGAGAGAGAGAGAGAGAGAGAGAGAGAGAGAGAGAGAGAGAGAGAGAGAGAGAGAGAGAGAGAGAGAGAGAGAGAGAGAGAGAGAGAGAGAGAGAGAGAGAGAGAGATGCAAAATAAAATTAGACTCATTAATAACCTTTCAACTGTAAATGGTTATGGTTATTACCTTAGGAGGAAGCTGAGGAAGCAAAGCATGAAGATTAGCAAACATGTTCCTCATCTTCTTCCTCCTTTCTCTCTCTGTCCAAATATGCATCTCATGGTCATCTGACTCACCACCACCACCACCATCACCTGCACCAGTTGAACCTTTTCCTTTGTCAGCAGGACTAGTACTTCCTTTGATTATCCCATTCTTCCCCACACCTCCTCCTCCCCTCCGCTTCTTACCGGGTGCAGGCGGTACCTGATTATGACCTTCTGTACTAATTCCCATCACAGCTGTCTCCTCCTTGTTCCCCAAATTTTTATCTTCATCACCAGCACCAACTGAGTTGTCAGAATTATTTGACAAATTAGCCCATGACTGGTTTTCCCACAAAAAACCTTCTGAGAATCCTCCTGTTTCCCCTCCAGACATATCTTCACACACAGAGATATAGAGAGATAGAGAGAGATAGGGGTATGAGAAGCTATGGAAGAGGGAGAGGGGGTGAGGAAGCGTTTTAAAGGAGGCAAAGGAATAGGAGGGGTGTGTGTGTGTAAGAAAGAAAGCTGTTTTGGCTGGTAAGGAAGAGCCCAAAATACAATCATAAGGCCATGCCGTTACTATGCTTCAAAACAAAAAACGGATAGCTTTAGCTATGTGTTTTCAAGGGACCCACAAGGGTACTTGCCAGACCCCACCTGCCCGAAAACCACCTGATACACAAAACCAAATTACCATTCACTCTCAAATTTCTACAATTCCATTTCCTGGTTTGGAAAAGATACGTTCATCTCCCATCAAAACCTTTTCATATTAATGTTCTTTTAGAGTTCTTCAACAATACTGAGTTGGTATTGATATGGGTCTCTGAAACCACTTACCATTTTGCTTACATGCATACAGTTATGAATGCGCCGTTACAATTCTGCACTAGATATGGAGAATTAAGATGTGAATTTCTTGCACTTAATTACCTTAAAAAAAAAAATCATAAAAATAACGGTTTTACTACATCACCAATGTGGTTTACGTAGGAACCATTAACGGTAACTACGTGTCGTTTTGACGTGGTATAAGCCAATGTATCTAACATTGTCTCATAGTCTTAACTACGTATCGTTTCATTATTGTAGCCTCCCAACAACACTACTAGTGACCCCCTTGTACATACTGCTTGGCCTAGCAAATGACCTCAACTGGTGATTAAGTTCAACATTGTAATATGCCCAAACAATTTTCTGAAGCCAAGTTTAAGGAACTCAATCACCTTACAAATTACATCAAATTTTCTGTTTTCCTTTGTAAGAAAGCGCGTACTTGCCTACCTAAATTTATTTGGTCGGTTCTTGAGGCAAAACGCACACATAATGTAATTTGTTTAAGGAGTCTTGATGTTGCTCAAAAGAGTATACTTCCATAATTAATTGGAAAATATGCAAGCGTTACAGATGAATGTAATGATTGACTGCCAGATACCCCTTTTATTACCATTAAATCAGTCAATAACATTGAAAATGACAAGAGTTAAATTAAATTTCCATGAGAAATATATGCAGTTTCTGTTAATAATTAACAAGGGGTCAATTAAATCATCATGTATGCATATCTAACCAAATAAGGTAAACCAATCTAGGCTGATTCAAAACAATCCAATCGAAGATGTGTTTTTGGACTTTAGAAAGATACAAGGTAAGAAACCCTAGACCCTAATGTGATATACAAGTTATAAGAAACCTAATTCACAAGAACCCTGCTAGAAGCCAGAAGTATGAGCTATTCTCAGATCTCAAGGTGTGTAGAGCACTGATTTCAGTGACAATGACCAACAAATAAAAAAACCTGTTTTTTTCTAAAAGAAAAAAGAAAAAGAAAAAGAAAAAAGAAATAGTGCTCAGTTGCTTAGGAAAACACGCAGAGAATGTCGTTTAGTGGCTTTTGGAATTTATAGGGCTCCAAAAACTCTAAAACTGAAAGACAATTGTGTTACTCACGCAACACGTAAACAACTAGAGTTGCATGCAGGCAACAGCCAGTGCATATGGTAGCTTCTTGATAATGATGATGCTGATAAAGTTAAAGGAAAAAAGTTGGACCCGTAATCATATCCATATTAGCCAGTAGAAAGAAGGTTACTGACTCAATGGCCTAGCTGGCTGGCTGATACATGGCCGTTATTCAGAAATTTAAACAGTATTTAAAATTTATCCCTCTTCACTCTTCACAAACAAGCATAAGAGCAGCAAAGAATCTACTAGTGTTCTTCTTAGTAAAGCTTCTAGATTCAAGTCCTAATATTTGTGTAGTGTGTGTAAGTAAATAGTATCGCTCTTCTCAATAGAAAAAGGTCCTAAAAAAACAAGCATAAGAGCAAAGAAGCAGAACTCATAAAAATGTATAGTATTAAGCTTAATTTTTTGTTTTCTTTGTTCATTCCCATTTGTAACATTCATATATATATATATATTATATTCCATATTTATACGATCAGATAAGCTTTGCAGAGTTTATATTATTTTCGTGTTTGATCATCTTGCATGGTTTGTACTTTTGTTACCCGCAAAGCTTCAGTGTAATTATGAAGTTTAGCAATATTGAAAGTATAGAGACATGGATATTGTTGTGCTAAAGGACAAGTAATTTGATGCTTTCTGTGTATTTGTAATAACTTGGTGCAGAATGCAGACGGAAGTATTGAATGAAGAGATAAGTAAGGTTAAGGAGGGACAGAGAATTATTAGACTTCTTTAATATATTAAGGGTGTATTGATTTTTTTCCTATAGAAATGAGAGCTGAGGCCCTGAATGTATGACGATAACAAGTGAAATCATAAAGATTATGGATTGATATATAGTGCTTGTATGCCACCAGAACAAAGTGCTTGTAACTATAGTGATTAAAAGCAATGTTTTACCCGTACACCCGAGGTCTTAGGTTCAATTCCCCCTCCTCTTGTATTTAAAAAAAAGACAGACAAAAAAACATTATAGTGATGGTTGCCGCTGAATGCATAAATTGACCGCAAAGCAATAAAGCTGCTAAACATCAGGTGTTGTTTTTAGCCTGCAAACCTCCTCATACTGAAGGGATAAAGTTGACTGTTTGATTGTCTCTCAGCTAACTTGGCGCGGGCCCCGGTGATTGAGGGTAAAGTGGGGCTTGTACTAGCGTGAATCTAATGCAAATGAAAAGGGAGTTGGTTTCGATTCTTTAGCTATTCATATCATTGGAGCCATATGCTCTTTCTAGGATCCTAAATAAACAATTTACACTAAAAAATTCAAATCCAAATCCCTCATTTTGTATAACCCATGTAGGTTATTATCTCCACGTTCAAGAAAGAGTCATTTAGATGGGATTTAGAACCTAAAAAGTTTCCTAAACCTCTGTTTTTTGTTTTGTTTTTTTTAATACAAGCGAAAGAAGATTCGAACACAGGACTTCAAGTGCAAGGATAATTGCTTTTAACCCTGCTTAAGCTACGAGCCCCGAGGCATAAGAAACCTGCACGGTCATCACTGAAACTGTCCTCTGTGACTAATTCCTTCACGCTCTCTCTTTCTTCCATTCTGAATTAATCCAAATCTCGCTGCAAAACCCAGCTGCATTCGCTTACTAGACAGCACAACTTCCTCTGTTGTTTTTGTTCTCATCCTGAATTGATCCAATTATCAATGCAAACAAGGCCTCCACCTTCGAAAAGAGTCCATAATTTTTTAATGTACATGTTTTCTTCTACACAGATGACTTTTAAATCACCAAAGCAACATCATAGTTCCGATCCGACAAGTATTGTGGGCAACAGAAGTGAGCTAATGACAAACACTGCAAGCATATGCTCAACACCCATGGGACTAAAATGACAAGAAATTAAATATCCGTTTAATCTAAGACTCAATGAAACAGCTAGAAAATGATAAAACCCATCTCTGAAACTCAAGTTCCACAAATGAGATCGGGACAACAATTTGATTAAACAAAACAAGAACAAAACTATAATGAAATCTGTGCATATGACAAGTAATAATGAAACAGTCCGATCTCCCAAACTCATAGCAAAGGCTTCTTAATGTCAGAAGTATTATTCCAATATATTCATTATTGTCATGGTGATTAAAACAAATAAATAAAAGGGATCCTTCAGTAGCCAATAAACAAATCCTTTTAGGACCGGTGCAGCAAAGTTCCTTTTTATTTTCTTTTTTCAGTCACGGCCGCTCTTTCCTCTTTTTATGAAACCATGCAGTCCATGCACAAATAAAACCAGTTTCAGTCGAGAAGGGAGGACTAGATTCTCCACCCAACTTTTGGTTTAATGATACAGCAGCATGAAAATCAAATTTCAGGCTTGGACATCGATGGTTTTCCCTTCAAGTAAGCAACGCTGTCGTTTTACAAATCGGGCACAGATTCTTCTGCATTAGCCACTGCTTGATGCATTTGGTGTGGAAGTCATGCCCACAATCTAGTGTGCCAATATCATCCTCATCATTATATTCCTCCTGCCACGATAAGGGTTCGAACAAGGTAACAAGAACAAATAAATCAGCTGCATGAAGTACTTGAAAGCAACTAGCTGTGTTCTTGTGGGGATAGACATAGCCACATAGCTCATACCTGACAGACACAGCACGGTTCCATATCTGCTGAGGATTCTGCTGTTACCGAGAGAAATTTTCGCTGTTTCATTAACTTCACAATGGTCTCCTCACTCAGTCCAGTGCTAACGTCTCCTATACGTTCCTCCAGTGCCAACAGTTCCTATTGTCCAACAGTATGGTTATGGGAACAATTTTGAAGCAAAAACCTATGAGAAAATACTTGCCCTCACTTGCCCCCATTTTACCTCGTAAGACATGTTATCAACATCAAGGCGCATGTCTCTGTGCCTGTCGTGCATCTCAGCCATGCCATGATATATGAATGGGTCAAAGAGCATATAATCCTGAAATCACATACGAAGCTTGATTGTCAAACATATACAATCTGTTGTATATAGCAATAAGCTAAGCGTTCTTCCCCTCGCTAAACATATACAATCATAGACAAACCCATTTTGCTTGCAGCTTAATTATGCTCCCCCCTAATAATTGTTAGTTTCACAAACTATTTTTCCACAACCGTATAATTTCTTCCCACAAGCCATTTTCTCCCACACCATCAAATTATAATCCATATCAAGGAGATTAAAGATAATTGATTATACAAATATTTTATGCACTTATTCAAAAGAAAATCCTATATAATGCCCATGCACAAAGAACAATGTCCAATGCCACACAAAAAATGGTGGAAAAACCATACTTCTGCTACTCTTTTTTTCATAGGACATAGTTCTCCATTGGTTAGCATGTTCACCTGGTAAAGCATGCAGATCTATTGCCAGAAGGCAAAAGAAAATAAACTAAACAGCTTCACATAGCATTAGAAAGTTGTTAGCTATATATAGTTGTACTAAAATCATTTTGGCGGGTTTTCTCCATGTCACAGCCAGTACACCATTATTTAAGCTGGTATATACACCGTAGCAGTTAAAAACAGATTCCTAAACCTGTTCATAGATATGGTCTCATTATACAGAAATAGCTATGGCAAATTAAGCTGGAAGATATTACCACAGCTTTTTTTCCACAAGAAGACAGAATCAGATGTAATGCAATATACCTAAAAAAAATTGACGGCCTAGGAGCCACTAATTATTGCAATTGCAAATAACTGAATTCCAATAGCACAACCAAAGCTCACTGTTTAGTGCTATGGCACTTCAATGTACACATGGATAAAAAATCTAATGTTAAATTAATCAAAGCATAGGCAGCACAAAAAACCTGAATCTAAGACATCTAACCTTCTACCTCCCTATTTTTGAACTTCTCAAAAGACAATGACTATCGGCCTAAGCCAGCTACCAAAACTACCTTAGCAGTTGCAATAGAACATATAGAATTCCTAGTAAATCAAACAGAAATTGATGTAGAGGTCAACAGCAAACCTCGGCTCGTAAGTTCTCACCCCTGCGCATAGCATTCAGAACTTGACGAATCTGGTACACACAGTAAATTATAATTGTTAGTTCCAGAGGGAATGGTTCTTGCAAAAATTAGTGGATATACAAGAACAGAAGTTGAAAGCATTAATGCCATCATCTCTCTAATCAGAGGCAAGAATTTTAACCCTGTATCCAACCATAAAACCGATCCTTAACAAACAAAATGTCATAAATACGAATATAACAAATATCAAAATGGTAAAGAACAGCTTAATTTTGCTAGTCAGAGGTCAAAGATAAATACAATCTACGGTAAGGCAGTAGTACAATGCAGAATTAGCTCCCTAAGAACATACAAAATAATTTTAACCTCTAATTTAACAAATCAACCACCCACCCTATGAACAGTTTTCCAACCCCTTATTTTTTTTTCTTGATAAGCAGATTATAACACTGGCCTCTTCTCCTAATGCTGCCCTTTAAAGTAATTTTGTGCAAGGGTAAATTTGTAATAAAAATTTATTTAAAATGGGGTGGGTAATGGGAGGTGGAAATAGCACAACTCAAAAGAAAAAGGAATGCAAACTCAATTCTGAAAATGGCGTACCCTTGTTATACAGACTATAAAGAATATATGAGAGTAAACTCGAAAAACAGGACAAAGAAATATAGAGCACAAACCTCAGATATGAGTCGGCGCCTCCCTTCAATGTCAGCTGCTAATGCCCGTAGTGAATGGGGCATATTAAGAACATCATCACCCTGCCGGTCCACCGAGAACACTGACCTAGGATATGGTAGATGACGACCCTGGTTATTAGATCCAGAAGAACTTCCTGAATCCTGAGAGGAAGCAGAAGGTCTTGGAGGTACTGGGTTATAATGACTATGACCTCCAGGTTGAGAATCAGAAGATGGAAACAAAGACCAAGGAGAAAATTCTGTTACTCTTTGATGATTTTCGGTTGGAGGGTTGTTGAGAGGGATCCATGCAGTATTAGGCAAAGAACGAATGCCAGAACTAGAGCCAATTCTTGAAGAGGAAGGCGCACCTACAGAAGTGCTTGTGTCTCCAGGTGCCAAACTCCAACCTGTTGGATCCTGTGCTGAATTTCTCATATCAGTGGCAGTTGCAAATGTGGAATGCTCCACATTGTTTCTGGGAATGCTTCTTAAGTTTGCTTCTTCTCTTAGCTCAGCACCTCTATATCCAGACATAAGAGAACTTGATAAGCTGCCCACTCTTGAACTGGAAGCACCATTCCAAGGTAAAGGAAGCAGGGTTCCAGATGAAACGCTCATATGCATAGCAGGAAAATGGC